TCAAATAAATAAATAAATAAATAAATAAATAAATAAATAAATAAATTAACCCCAGTTGTGGAGAAACCTGGGCCATTCCCTTGAGCCCATCCAGCACAGACAACGTAGAGGAGGCATGATAGGAACTGCAGTTCCCACCCCATTTGTGAGAGGCCGCCGGTTTCCCGTTCTAGGATACCCTTGTTCTCAACAAGAGCGTGACCCAAAAATGAATGTGGAAGACACTGACTCTCTCTCTCTCTCTCCTCCTTTGCCAAGACGGTCAGCCTTGGGTAGGAGCCCGTCTCTGCCGGAGGAACAGCGCAGCACCCCCAGCCCGCCTCTCACCTCAAGGCTCTGCAGCTGCTCCTTCAGGAGGATTTTCTCCTCTCGCTCCGTCTGCCACTTCAGTTCCACCTCGGAGAGGAGCTGCTGGGAGGCGGCGCTGCTGCCACCCCCACCCTCAGGGGCCTGAGGCGCCGAGGTCTCTTCCCCAGCGGCAGGAGGCTCCGCAGAGGCATCGCCCTTTCCTCCGCCTCGGTTTTCAGCCTGCCGGGCCACGTCCTTCTCGTAGCGCTCCTGTAAAGCTGAAAAGAGCCAGAATGGGCCAAAATTCTCCAGGAGTCACTGCTCAACGCCATCCAAGTCCACCGAGATGGGACGGAAGCTGCTTACAAAGATTCAGAACGATCCGCCAGGCCCTGGGGAAAGGGGGTGGGGGGAATCGCCTTGATCCATCCTTCTAGCTGGCTTTATTCGGAGGACAAGCATCATCCACAGAGAGCCTGGGAAAGGTTATTTCTCTGGATGACAACGGGCAGCACAGCCACGGGCCCGCCAAGAGAGGGGATTCTGGGGGCTGCCTGGGTTGCAACTGCTCCTCTTGAGATCACATTCGCTTCCTGGGTCCAACTCCCAAGTAGGCCCTAGAAAAAGCAGCAGGCAGGCAGCCAGGCTGCTCCTCTACTCCAGCCAGAGGCGTAGAAACTTTTCCATGTCACGTTAAATGGCTGGGGTTGAAGAGGAAGAGTGATCATTGCCCTCTTCTCTCTTCTCTATCCCACCAGGCTTTGTTTCAACTTTTCCAAATCACTCGCTTTTTTACTTTGCTCTCTCTCCAGTCTCCCCTGTCTACACCAGGGGAAACTTTGACCCTCCAGATGTTGACGAGTTGTTACATTCGCCACAGCACACCATTCATCAAGTGGACAATGGAGGATGGAAGATGAGGTTCAACAACATCTGGAGGGCAACAGCTTCCCCAGCCCTGATCTATCCATCCAGATTTTGCCCTTGACATGAGCCACAGGACACCGGGCATGGTGACACCACAAACAGACTGCTCCAGACAATGGCTTGGCTAAAACAACTTTTCAGCTAGTCCATAGGCTGCAACATCTATTCCCAGTGGCCATCCACTTTTGCAGGCCTTCCCCGTATCCAGCTGGCCCCTCCCCCTGGATTCCCCAACTTTAATCCAAGTCACTCCAGCTCCAGTTCAGCTAAAGGCAGTACCTGCCATGTTCTTTTGCAGTGCAGAGTTCTCCGCTTGCAGCCTCAGCAGCTCCCCATCCAGAGGGTTGGTGGGGGAGGCCTCTTCTGGGGCTGCTCGGGCCGCCCCTTCCTGGAGACTCTTGTTCTCTTTCTCCAGCTGCTCAATCTGGGAGCACAGCTATGTTGGAGAGAAGGGGGGACAATGACTGTCAAGACACGCAGACACACATTCCCTCTCTCTTACTCAGTTAATAGAAATGAGGTAGGAAGACCAAGAAGACCCATATGTGCAGAAGGTCCCCCCCCCTAAAGCAGGGGATGTTTGGTGATCCTGATACTGCTGGACTGCAACTCCTCTCACCATAGGCTAAAACGAATGGGAGCAGCAGTCCAGTAACACTGAGGGGTCCCCGCATCTCCTGCCTTGCAACATCCACGCTCTCCAAAAAGTAGCCGTGGGAGCCCACTCTGTTCTGACAACGGTGCAGCAATCTGGCTCCCACAACTTTTTTTGGGGGGGGGGCTCAACTTAGGAGATGTTATGCCCCCTCCCTTATGCAACACGTCCAAATTTATATGTGTGAAAGTAACCCCAAAATCATATTGTAACAAACACCCGGAGGAAGAATTCCTCCCACATGGATCAATCCACAATATCCCAACTACAATCATCCCACACAGAGCGGTTGCTAACGTTACGCCTTCCACCTAGAAAACAGCATTTGCAATGCCATCCAGGTACTTCATCCAACATGCTTCTTGGCAAAGGGGGATGAAGGAGATAGTGGGGGCAGGAAGACTCTTATTGAGATGATACTGCCAGCCTGAATGACTGGCTGGCTGGCTGGCATGCAAGAGGAAAAGAGGTCTTTTTGCAAACCCAAAGAAAGCCGAGACCCCGCTTAGACCATGAAGTCTGGCCTTCTGGGACACCCACCCTGCTCTACGATTCAGAGCTTGTTAATTTCCAGATTGCCATTACCCTGACTCCCTCCTGAACCAGCATAGGCAGTGTATTGACAAAGGGACTCTGGGAGATGTACTCTAAAAGGCCTTTCTTTTGTAGTCTTGGATTGGCGAGGTGCGACACAGGCGTGGAGGGGATCTTCACTGGACTTGAGAGTCACAACACAGCTATTCTTTTTAAGCCTCCTAGAACTCACTCGGTGTTCACTTTCCCAACCCTACACGTTTGTAAGGTCTGGCATGCATTCTGGATAAACTAAACGTATTCATCAAGGCATACGAACCTTTAGAAATGTGAAAATCAAGAAACATGAATAGTTAAAAAAATACAAATTTGTTTAATAATTATTATGGCAATCAAGCAGGCAGTGACTTATAGTGAGCTTCCCAGGGCTTTCTAGGTATATAATTCTCAGAAGCAGTTTATCAGTCCCTCCTTCTGATGGTACGGATAAACTAAACGTATTCATCAAGGCATACGAACCTTTAGAAATGTGAAAATCAAGAAACATGAATAGTTAAAAAAATACAAATTTGTTTAATAATTATTATGGCAATCAAGCAGGCAGTGACTTATAGTGAGCTTTCCAGGGCTTTCTAGGTATATAATCCTCAGAAGCAGTTTATCAGTCCCTCCTTCTGATGGCACTCTGCTGGGACTGCGCAGCTTGCCCAAGGCCACACAGGTGGCAGAGTATGGACCAACACCTCCGCCCTGTCACCCATGCTCTGGTCAATGGGAAAAATACACACATTAGGAAAAATGTAGACCAAGAGTGCATATCACTATCCATCTGAGAAAGACAAAAGCAACATATTGAAGTCTGCTACCGATAAAAGATAGGCCAATAAAGGCGGGGGGGGGAAGTTAGAGAAATGCATTGAAATCAAAATGGATGGTTTCCCACATTTCTACTGTGATGTTTCAGTAAAAAAGGTTGGAAGAAAACAAAACCTTATATGGTAGTATAGAACAAACACACACAGCCCTGCGGCCTCTAAGGGAGCCAGGTTAGAGCTATTAAATCGCAGGCACAAAATTAGTTCACTCTGTTCCAGTAGCAGGACTCTTCCTCTGCATGGCTGTCAGCATCTCAAATCAGAATTCCGCACAGCGCTTCGCTCACATCACTTTGTGTGGCACCAGCGCCCTCTAGCAGGCGCCTGGCGCCACTGCAGAAGCAACTTCAAAGACGCCCGTACCTTGGACAGCTCCTGCATGAGGGTGCTGTTTTGTAGCCTGAAGTCATCCTCCTGGCTGTGCAGTTTTCCCTGAAGCATTTCATTTTCACTAAGCAACGCATCCACCTCCTGGAGGAAAGGAAAAGTCAAAACCAACATGTCAGAAGAGGCTGGACAGATCGAATGCCTGAAAAGCTCTCCCTCTTTCCACTAGAGGGCAGCACCAAACCCACAGAAAAACCAGAGCTCCTTTGCCTATCTGCCCTAAAGATTAGAAAGTGTTCTTCCTTTGCTCTTTTCCTGCCTTTCTCTCACTCAAAAAAAGGGCCACTCAGATCTACAGGAAGTTTTACTTAGTTACAGGCAGAGTGCCAATCGCTGTGGGGTCAATAGCAGAGATACTGAACTAGCTAGGACCTACCCAGAAGGGAGGACCAGACAGCTATAGATGTCTCCTTTGTATTTGGGAGAAAGCCATGTGTTACCTTACTCTTTTCTCTAGCTTACACTTACAAAGTATAGATGCACAGTACAACAAAAAAAACATCACAATAGTCTGGAGCTTCAGTAGCCTTCTAGCTATCTAAAGAGTGGGCTTTTCTAGAGAAGAGACAGGCTGGATCAAGGATCATGATGGGCAGGTAGGTAGGGAACAGAGCTTGGGAAAAATGTATTTCCTTGGACTATAACACCCAGGATCCTCCAACCCGAATGGCCACAGGAGAGCCAAGGCAGCCCCAACCACAAAGCCCAGGGCTTGTAGGGAGATGTAGCACGGAGATGGGACAAGAAGAGGGGAAGTCTCTACAGAGAGAGGTGGAAAATGGAGGCTGCAGCAAATCGCAGTGAGAGAGATGGGAGAGCCTTTGAGCTGACCAATGGACCCAGGGTACGTCCTGCTATGCAAGAAGACTTACCTGAGCCTTTTTGCTCTTACTCAGAGCCTAAGAAAGAAAAGAACTCATTAATAATGGAACAAGAGGAGAGAGACATCTCAGAGTCAGCTGTATGGCATGGAGCACCACGGAACGTATGGCCTTCCATGAGCCAATATACTACTACTACTATTCCCATCACCCTTTCTCACTGGCTATGTTGGCTTGGGATGATGGGAGCTACAGCACAAGAACAGCCAGAGGCCCACATGTTTTCCACCCCAACCCTAGAGCTAGTTTCTCCCTATTTTAACTGATTAATAAAGCAGAGTGCCTGGAAGACCCATCGAACCCACCCATGCATTTCTAAGATGCAAAAATAGAAGATGTCACATGCAAAAATTAAAAAAAAAAGGTTGCACCGTTACTGCACAATAACTTTGTTGGAAGTGGTCACATAATCTGGATTCCAAAAGAACTGATCTATAACTCCCTTAACTTTCCTCTTGCTAAGCATCAGCTTTGTGCAGGGTAGGGTGTACTTGTGAGTGGCCGCAGGCACCATCCCATGAAAGAACGCCGCCTCACCTTCTGAGCTTTAGAAAACTCCTTATCCAAAAATGCCACCCGTTGCCGAAGGCCGTTTAATTCTAAAAATCAAGAACAGAAGGGATCAACATTGAGAAAGTATTTTTACAGGCTGACTAATTTGTTTTCTTATATATTTCTATACAGGTAGATTGCACATATGAAATCTGGTGTCTCGCATAAAATTCTTGAACATTACAGTCTTTTTATTAATATGCAAATACGTATAAAGATAAGCAGATTTTCAGTGCTCACAGTGATCCATCTCTGCCCAAATCCAAAACACTTCCCATACGAACAGAAAAATTACCCCTCCTTGAGACTGTGGCAGCGACATTATGTGCCCACGCGCACCCAGAAAGAGAACCGGTCGGGGAGCTCCCTCCCACATGGAGGGGGCAAAAAGACTCCACGCCTTTTGAGCCTTCACAAAAATGACAGCCCTATTAAGAAACGGGGAAGCAGCTGGAAGAGGAAGCAAGGACTGGAGAGGATGTCAGTGGAGAGCGGCTAAGGCAGAACCCAACTTCCTCTTGGAGGCCTAGAGACAGAACGTTTTTTTTTTCAAATGAGTTATGGGGGAGGAGATGGATTTTGTTACTTCTCCACCCTCGTCACAAGATGGGGGAAGGCGGCAAGCCTCTGGGACTTTGCATAATTTATCTCCACGCCCCTCCCCATCTCAGATGGAGGGGGTTAGGCTTAGAACCAACGCTCCAACTTCTAACCACAGAAAAGCTTCTTTGGCAATAAGCCTGCCTCTTAAGGTTTCCTCAGGCACTGCCCATATGTTTCAAGCTTATTTTACTTGGATACGGGCCAAAAGGGCTGGTTGTTTGGTGTTCTTTGTTGTTTGTCTGTTTGTTTTAATGACAGCTGAATTCTGCTGTCCATACCACATTCTACGCTCTTTTTCAGAGTTCCCACAAATCCATACAGTGCTCCATCCCTTCCTTTCCCTCCACAGTCACTCTTTTTGTTGCCATTCCAGAACTGGCAGCAGATACACGTGCTCGCAAATATAAGCATCTATCAAACCTGTAGGAGTAAGAGGAATCGTGATGGCTTTTAATACCGGGTAAGGAAAATGGCAGGCTAGATTACATAAATTTTGAGGAGAAAGCTGCATTTTAGGGTGGGCTTTCTGAGGGAGCCCTTTTGATGCTCTTCCCAGATCTTGGTTGACTTGCCTGACTGTTTTACCTGGCCCCCAATAAAAAAAGGTGGCAAGTAACATTTGTAAACATAATTTCCCTTTTAAATCTCACCCTCTCTGGCTGGCTTTAGGCGTTATATGGCCATTAAAAGAAAAAAAAGAAAAGAAACGTATTGACAGACTGGATTTCCAGGTGTATCATTTGGAACTGGGGGAGAACAAGCGGCTGAAAGCACATTTCGTCCACCCCCACAGTATCCTGGACCAGCAGAGCCCAGCATGTTCACTGAAGACCATTCGGAAACACCTCCCTTCTTACCGGCAGTATTCTTGCGGAGTTCATCAGAAAGCTGATAATTCTGTGTCCTAAGTTCCAGCAGCTGGGCCTAGCAAGGAAAATGGCAATAGTTTTTTTTAAAAAAAGGAATCTGGTAAGATTAATCAATGAGGATCTCCACTCAGTTTAGGGACACAACCTCAAAGGTCTTTCGGCAGGCCAGGCCTGCAGCATGGGTTTCTCAAGATATAATCCATACCATGATTGTGAAATGCAAACAACACTTATCCAATCCTTTTCTCACCCATATATCTTTCATTTTTAAGAAATGAAGCTTGCATTATTCTTGTTCTACCAGCTGAGGCTAACAAATGGCTTGGTTCAAGGCCGCAGTCAATGACTTGAGTCTTGAAAGCTGCCCTCTAAAAATGTATCCATTGTGTCAAACTGGCTTTTCAGTCTAGAGATGGAGACCAAATATTGATACAACCATCCAGAAGAAACAGGGAAACTGCCTAGTGTACTTGAAGCATTTCAGGCATTATAAAAATTTCTCTAGGGGAGTTGCTGTTCTTCAGTTCAAGAGAACTACAAGTTAATTCAAAGTAACTAAAACTCTCATCGTCTTGAGATGGCACAGAGAGTGATCAAGCAGGATAGGAGTTATAATCTGAAATAAATGAGGTGGGGGCGCGCGCAATGTTTTCAAAGACTGCATTGACATTTGAAGCAGCAGTGGAAAGCTTTTGGCCTTCTGGATGTTGCAGAGAGCACCTTCCACCAGTCCTAGCTAATACATCCGACAGCATAGGGTGTATCTCTTATTTTCACAATCCAACACCAGCCCACTGTTCTCTTCTAGTCTACTCCTGAAAGCAGTTTTTCTAGACTGTTAGAAATGATGTTGATATCTGGAACAAATATTGCTCTGTAAGGTGCCATTAACCCCAAAATTGTTTTTATTGAGTATGATACCTGAAAATATAGATAAGTCAAAGGATTATATAGTTATATACTGTACATAGTTACGGCAGCCAGAATTCTATATGCTAAAAATTGGAAAAGACCAACGGTACCGAAGCAAGAAGATCTTATTGAAAAGATACGGGAAATAGCCAAAATGGACATTTTAACAGAAATCATGAAGGACTATCCCTTGCAAAAGGCAACAGAAAGATGGGATCTATTTAACAAGTGGACTGAATCAACAGGCAACTTGTGAATAGCATATACTGTATTGAAATGAGAACATAATCTAGAAGGCAGAAAAGAGTAAATAGAATAACTTAAAATCTTGATATGGCAATAGGTACAGAATGGATGGAAGTATGTTATTGTCTCCCCTCTTCCTCATCAACTCCAATTCCCTTTTCCTTTCTGTCATCCCTTATATTAAAAAAATAAATATAAAAAAGAAATGATGTTGGTATCCAAAGCCCCAAACATTACTTCTCAAAGTGTCCTCCTGAGAAATCCTATTAAAAGAGCCACCAGTTTCTCCACACCCTTCGTTTATCTCTTGGATAACATTTAGTGGGACCAGCCATCATTGTCCTTCGGTGGACCAGAACTGACTCAGTAACCTCTAGCTGCCTATCTCAAAAGGAACCTCTGTGTTATCTTGCTGAGAAGAGCGATGTTTGTCTTTCAGCATCCAAAAAAGCAAAGCAGACATCTTGAGCTGCAAAGTACAGCTTTAAGGATTGGAAATTTATCACAGAGAATATTTTTCTTTCAACAGCAGAAGAAATGAGGCTTGTGTTTATCACATGACAAGCCCCTCCACCCTGCCTTTCAGTCCGTGCTCCTTTCTCCTGACACAACACTGCCCTCCCTGGGGCCTCCGACATGAATGCTAACAGCTGACCAAGTTCCCTGTAATTGCAATGTACCTCAGAAACTTGGAAAAGTTCCTTATTTGAGGCTACAGCTCCCAGAATCCTCCTGTCACCATGATCAGCGACAACTACGCTGCCTATGGGGCTCTGGCTGCTGTAGCCTCCAAGACCATGTTTTCTAAGCTCTAGTATAGGACCAGACAGATTGCAGCCCCTATATGCTTTTGGATTGCAGCTCTCATCAGTCCTAGCCAATGGTGAAAAATGGTGTGATGGACTACAGATCCTATCTGTCAAAATAAACATTACTCTGAATGTTAAAATTAACTCACCCTTTTCTTGACTCATATACATTTCTACTATATATGTGACAGGAGAATGACAAATTGGCATTTCAACGCACATGCAGTCCCACACTGCTAGTACAGAGGGGGAAAAAACATCAAGAGGATGCATTCCTAATGTCTTGTTTCTAAAAGCCTTAGCTGGGATCCAGAGAACGAGAGCAGTAATTGCTCTTTTGCCGGAGCAAAACAGCTAGAAAAACCACAGCAGTGAAGCCCGTTTGTCAGGGAGGCGAGAATCCGGGGCCAGTCCCCTCACAGGGCAGCCATCGGGGTGCACCGGGAGATGCAAGCAAAGGTGAATGCATGTTATGGCCTCCCCTGCAGTGACACACAGTTCCTAAAGATGCTGGGACACAGCATGAGGCTGAATTCAGCAAGGGTGTGAATGTACACATTTCTACACACACACACACACCAGAACCTAGAGAGAGACCACACAGAGAACAGGCCTCCTTCGATATTTGCACAGAATACTGGCAGGTTTGCCAGGAGACAGAATGAGAAAACCAGCACTGGCGAGATTTCCTCTTCCTGTATAACCCCAGGATCCTTTGCCTATGGCCAGCTCAGGACACACAAAGCTCAAGGACCATTTCACACATGACATCTTTTTTCTCCAAGTACCCATGTAACAGGAACAGAGAACACATGGCCCTCCAGATTTTTCTGGGCTACAGTGTCCATCATCCCTCACTGCTGGACCAGCTGGCTAGAGCTGATGGGAGCTACTGTCCCACAAACTACAGTACAGCCAATAATATCTGGAGGCCCACATTTCCACAGCCCTGAACCTGATCTCACGCCTTAAAAACACCCAGGACAGCAAACCACCTCCCGCACAGGCACCACTAGGCAGAAAGCCGTTTGTGGTGGGTTGCAACCACGTTGCTCTACGTATGACACCCCACACACACACACACACTGCGGTGGAGGCAAACGTTTGCCCCCTCGGTAACGTGTGAATGGCCTGGAAAACCCATCTGCCTGCCCAGCTCATGATGCCTTCAGTTCACACACTCCTCCTCCTCCACCTCTAGACCATCTGGGTAACTCTGCTCTTTCTCCTTCATCCACTCTTGAATGGTGGACTCTTGACTATCTGATCCGACTCGACACCCGGAGGTGGTTGGTGCCCCTTCCGACGACCGATCGCTCTCCCTTCAACCCTCCTTCCAAAGCACACGCACCTGCATTCGCTCGAACTCCTCTTCGGACAAGGCCTGCGCCATCTTCACTCCCTTCCTCCTCCCCCCCCAACCCGCCACCCCCACGGTTCGGATCCGACTTGGTTTGACCCAAGAGAGAAACCGGTGGGTGGGGGGCGAAGGGAAATTCGAACGTCGAAGGAAGAAGGGGCGGGGAAGAAAACCCCGCCTCCGCTTGCTAGTGGAGGCGGGGAGGGTGACTTTAAGAACAGATCATAGAGATGAAGAGGAAGGACGGGGTTTTCATTCCCTCTTTGATTCCTTGTTTCTCTTTCCTTCCACCGGAAAAGATAAAAGGAGAAAGAAGAGAGAAAGAGCTTTGGGGGAAGAGCCGTGGAACGAGGAAAATCAGGGAGCCGGGAAAATGACGCTCGGAGGCCGGAAGTAAGAAAGCATAGAGATGAAGAAATGTTGCCAGAGAGGGGTGGTTTGGAACCGGAAGCGAATCTGAAGCACCCGAGAAACCGGATTACTGAAAGAGGTGTCCGTAAATATTTTTACGGGATAGTAGGGAATATAGTTTAGGGCAGGTACAAGGCGAGACGTATAAGCCTAAGGTCGGTCTAGGAAAAATTGTCTTTTCCAGCTCAATATGAGGGGGGCCATACAAAAGACCATAAAGGCAGGCCCGTGTTTATAGTCACCCGGAAGTTGATGAAAAAGGAAAGGTTTAGAATTCATAGATAGAAAATGGTAGAGCCACTTCCGTCCTAAATTGTAGCTGGTTTTCTCCTCGTATTTCATATGCAAAGCATACAGCCTTCTCGTCACATCCACAAACCAAGTAGTGTAGCAAGAGGATGCCACTTTGCATCCCGGGTGATTCGTAGCCAACATGGGCTTCCGAGTGTTTAACCTTGAGTCAGTTTGTTACTCTTTTCCTATCTCTGTGTTGAAAATATCAAAAAAACATGTCGGAGACCAGAAGCAAGGAATGTAAAATTTTGCATGGGAAAATTCTTCATGGGGGAAAGACAGATGTGGATTTTTTTTAGTTATTTGTTGTTGTTACATGCTGTCAAGTCGCTTCTGATTCATGGCCACCCTATTCATGAGTGATCTCCAAAATATCCTGTCCTCTTGTTCTTGTAAACGCAAGTCTGTGGTTCCCTTTAAGGAGGCAGTCCATCTTGTATGTGATCTTCCCCTTTTCCTGCTGCCTCCAATCTTTGCCAAAATGAGTTTCCCTCTTGTAAACTCAAGCCTGTGGTTCCCTTTAAGGAGTCAGTCCATCTCCTATGTGATTTTCCCCTTTTCCTGCTGCCTCCAACCTTCGCCAAAATCAGTTTTTTTCCCAAGGAATCCTGTCCTCATGGTGTGCCAAAGTAAAACACAAAATCCTCCTTATGAGGAGCAAAGAAGCCCCTAAAAACGATCTCCAGAAGCCAACACTCTTCACAGAAAAAAGATTGTGTAAAAGACCATCATAGAAATCAAGCCCTGCCGATCCTGGTCAATTGGAACTCAAGAAGACACAGACTTGACTCCATCCAAAAAGCAAGAGAATTACTTGAAAGACATATAACCTTCTTTGAAGAAGAAGCACAGGGACAAGATATAAATGAAGAAAAAAAGTAGAAAACAGAGAGAGAAAACACCAGAAGAGGAGAGTGAGCTAAGTGAAGAAGAGAGTCAGAAAAAGGATACTGAACAAGATTTGAACAAAACACAAAGAGAAAAAAGGAATACTAGGGCAATAAAACCTAAATACAAGCAAACAAGATGGAGAATGAAATTGGGATCTTCTCAGTGAATACAGTATTAATGGTTTTAATGCACCAAGAAAAGGAAATCACGTTTTTTCAAAACTATAAAAAACTAAAGCAGATATAATCTGTCTTCAAGAAACACATTAAACAGCAGCATTATCTGATTTACCCGAAGATTGGGAAACTCTACTACTCAGCCGCACAACAAAAGAGGAGTAGCTTTATATGTGAAAGAAAAGTTAAACTCTAAACATGTCTATTCTGATGAAGAAGGGAGAATCTTAATGGTAGAAATAACAATAAATCAAAAAAGTCTTGATGATAGCAATATATGCACCTAATAGTAAACAAGAAAAATTTTATCGTAAGCTATATAAAATATTGGAAAAAGAATACCAAAATATTTGCATATTAGGTGATTTTAATGCAATTGGAGATGAGAGACTTGATTACAAAAACGGTAAAAAAGGGAAAAAGAGAAGGAGAAGACTGCCAAACGTTTTCTTTCAGATGGTAGAAGAACTAGGATTACAAGATATATATAGAGAAATAAATACTAAAAGCTCTCAATTTACCTTCTATTCCAATAGACATAAATCCTGGTCGAGAATAGATATGATCTGGCTATCCTCAGAATTAAAAACTGAAATACAGGAAGTAGAAATAGAAACCAATATTTGGGCAGACCATAACCCAATGAAAATGCGGTGGAAAGGAAAGAGAAAAGAAAAGACAAGATGGACTTTAAACCAGGGAATATTGAAGGATAAAGAATTTGTGGAAAGAACTAAAAAAGAAATGGAACTCTTCTTCAAAGAAAATTAAAAAGAGGAAACATCCCTGCAAACAATTTGGGACACAGGTAAAGCATACTTCAGAGGATTGGCCATATCATATATAGCCAAAAGGAATAAAAGAAAAAAAACAACAACTTACAAAACTGAACAACTTAAAAAAACTGGAGCTAGAGCTACAAGAAGAACCGCAGAAGAAAACTCTTAAAAATCAGATGGAGATAGTGAAACATAAATTAAACTTAATAGAA